ATTTATTTCAGGAATGTTTCATAGTTCTCCTTGTGGAGATATTTCACCTCCTTGGTTACATGTATTTCTATGTGTGTGTGTGTGTGCGTGTGGCTGTTGTAATGAGACTCTATTTTTGATTTGGCTCTCAGCTTGAATGTTATTAGTATATAGAAATGCTACTGAATTGTGTATGTTGATTCTGTACCTTGAAACTGTCCTGAAGTCATTTATCAGTTGCAGGAGACTTTTGACAGAAATTTTAGAGTTTTCTAGGTATACTATGACATTGTCAAAAAAGAGAGATAGTTTGACTTCTTCTTTTCTCATTTTGATACCTTTTATTTCTTTCTCTTGCCTGATTGTGCAGATTAGGGCTTCCAATACTATGTTGAATAGGAGTGGTAAGAGAAGGCTTCCTAGCTTGTGCCAGTTTTCAATGGAACTGCTTCCAACATTTGCCCATTGAGTATGATGTTAACTGTGGGTTTGACATAAATGGTTATTTTTTTTGAGTTATATTCCTCCAATGCCTAGTTTCTTGAGGGTTATTATGAAGTGATGTTGGATTTTACTGAAAGGTTTCTCTGTATCTATTAAGATGATCTTTTTTTTGGTTTTGTTTTTAATTCTTTCTATGTGGTGAATCACATTTATTTATTTACATATGGTTGAACCAACCTTACATCCCAGGAATTAAGCTAACTTAATCATGATGGATTTTTGATGTGATGCTGAATTCAGTTTGCTAGTATTTTGTTCAGGATGTTTGCATCTATATTCATGTATTCAACTGGAATATTGACCTGTAGATTTCTTTTTTCATTGTGTCTTTGCTGGGTTTTGGTGTCAGAGTGATGCTGGCTTCAGAGAATGAGTTAGGGAGGAGTCCATCCTCCTTGATTTTTTAAAATAGTTTCAATAGGATTGGTACCAGCTCTTCTTGTACATCTGATAGAATTCAGCTGTGACTCCCTCTAGTCTGGGGCTTTTTATGGCTGGTAGGTTTTTTTTTTTTTTAATTACTGATTCAATTTCAGAACGCTATATTTGACCTGTTAAGGGTTTCAATTTCTTCCTGATGCTATCTTAGGAGATTGTGTGTTTTCAAGAATTTATCCATTTCCTCTAGATTTTCTAGTTTCAGTGCACAGAGATGTTAATAGTCTCAGAGAGTCTTTTGTATTTCTGGAGGATCACTATAATCTCACCTTCTTTGTTTTTGATCGTGCTTATTTGAATCTTATTTTTCCTTAAAGACTGTGTCATGTTGTGTCTCTGTTCATGTTTATGTCAAAGTTTTAAAAAGTTTCTTCCTCCATTGTTTACCCCAAATAATTCAGGAGTAAGTTGTATAATTTCCATGTGATTTCATTGATTTGAGAGATCTTCTTTATATTAATTTCTATTTTTATTCTCCTGTGGTCTGATAGTATGGCTGATGTGATTTTGATACTTTTGAACTTACTGAGACTTGCTTTATGGCAGAGCTTATGGTTAGTCTTAGAGTATGGTCCAAGTGCAGATGAGAAGGATGCATATCCTATGGTTGAGGGGTAGAGTATTCTGTAGATGTGTATTAGATACAATGGATCAAGTGTCAAATTTACATCCAGAACATTTTTATTAGTATTCTGCCTCAATGATCTGTCTAATGTTGTCAGTGGGGTGTTGGAGTTCCTCAATATTATTGTGTGGCTATCTATGTCTTTTTGTAGGTTGAAAATTACTTGTTTTATGAATCTGGGTGCTCCATTGTTAGGTGTGTATACATCGAGCATAGTTAAGTCTTCTTTTTGAATTGAACCCTTTATCATTATATAATGCCTTTCTTCGTTCTTTTCTACTGTTGTTGATTTAAAGTCTATTTTATCTGCTACAAAAATAACAACTCCTACTCTTTTTTTGTTTTCCATTTGTGTGGCAGACCTTTCCCCAACCCTTACTTTGAGCCTATGGGTGTTGTTATGTGTGAGTTGAGTCTCTGAAATATGGCAGATGGATTTGTCTTAACTTTTCATAGCACTTGCCACTCTGTGTCTTTTAAGTGGAGTGTTTAGACCATTGACATTCAGGGTTAATATTGATATGTTAGGTTTTGATCCTATTATGAAATTCTTAGCTGATTACTTTGTTGTTTCTATTGTGTGGGTGTTTTATAGGGTCTGTGGGCTATGTACTCAAATGTGCTTTTGTGATTCCAGATATTGTTCTTTCATTTCCACATTCAGAGCACCTTTAGAGATCTCTTGTAAGGGAGATCTAGTGGTAACAAATGCCCTTAGTGCTTGCTTGTCTGAAAAAATTTTATTTCTCCTTCACTTATGAGCCTTAGTTTAGGGAATATAAAATTCTTGGTTTGAATTTCTTTTCTTCAAAATACTGAAAATAGCCCTCTAATGTCTCTTGTGTTGTAACATTTCTGTTGAGAAGTCTGCTGTTAGGTTGATGGAGTTCCTTTTATACATGATCTGACCTTTATCTCTAGCTTCCTTTTCATTTTTTAATTTTTTTAAAATTTTATTCTCCAGCTTCCTTGAAGATTTTTTTCTTTAGCATTCATCTTGGAGAATCTGGAGACTATATGCCTTGGTGATGTTCATTTTCTATTGTATCTAGCAGGTGTTCTCTGGATTTCTTCTCTCTAGATTTGTACCTCTCTGGCAGGATTAGGAGAAGTTTTCTTGAATTATTGCCATATGTTTTTCATGTTGTTTACTTTTCTTCTTTCTCGCTCAGAAACACCAATGATGCATAAGTTTGGTCACGTTGCATAATCCTATATCTTTCAAAGGCTTTGTTCATTTTTTAAAAGGTTTTTTTTGTTTGTTTTTTTTTGTTTGTTTGTTTTTTCCCTGACTGACTTAGTTCAAAAGACTATTTCAGACTGTGATATTATTCTGTTTGGTTCAGTTTATTGATAAAGCTTTCAATTGTATGTTGAAACTTTTAAGTGAGTTTTTCAATTCCAGAATCTCTGACTTGTTTCTTTTAAAGATGTTTATCTCGTCCTTTATTTTCTTTATTACTTTAATATATTTGTGCTGATTTTCCATCTTGGGTTGGATCTCATTGAGCTTCCTTGTAACTCATGTTTTGAATTCTTTTTCTCTCATTTCTTAGTTTCCATTTTGGTTAGGGAATGCTCCTGGAGAACTAGTGTGATTCTTTAGTGGCATCACTATATTCAGAATTTTTATGATGGCAGAATTTTTGTACTGGTTTCTTCTCATCTAGAGATGATGGTACTTTTAATTTTTGTAATTATTTTTATACAGGTAGGATTTTTTTTTTCTTTCCCTACGATATTACTTATTTTCTTTCCCTTTCTTTTCCCCACTCCTTAGGGTATGTGACTGTACAGAATGTTGGGTAGAGTCTCTTGCCTTCCCTTCTATAGCCCTGTGCATTTCTGTTGGCAGGTTTTATGTTGGGCTGCATGGTTCAACCTATATGCCAGTAGTTGACACTTATGAGTAATAGCTGGCTTCAGCCAATGTGGCTGGATATATACTTCATCCTAGTTTACTGGGAGAAACTCTTTGGTGCCTTGGACAACCGGCCGATCCATAGATTTCACAGTGATTTTAGTTTCCTGTTCAGCCCTGCTGAGGGGGGTGGGGCAGTTCAGGGAGCAAGATGGGCAGGGCCAGATTGAGCAGGCCCGCATAGAGGTCCCCTAATGCCAGATGCAAGCATCAGCACCAAGGCAGAATCTGGCAGGTGGCCATCAAGCACCTGGTAGTGTGCCTAACCATAGGGCGGGGGAATCTCTTGACCTCAAGTTCTCTGCCTGGGGAGTGGAGGAAACCCAGACTCCTAAGTCAGTGGGGGGAGTGCTCCACATGTCTGGAGATCAGTCTGGGTGTGGAGTGTAGAGGGCCCTGATGCACCACGATCTCCACACAAGGAGGGTGAGGTTGTTCCATCTGCAAATCCATTCAAATGTGTGCTTTGAATGCATGTAAATACACCTGAACTTGGGGCAGGTAAGGCGCCACTTTACCACAGTATGCAAAGGAAGGATGGGCCAGCTCAGGCTGCTGATTCAAGCAAGTGGTCACATTAAATGCCTAGAGATTTGCCTGGATGTGGAGCAGAGAGGATGCTGCTTCATTATAATCTCTGTGCGGGAAGGATGGGTTAGCTTCTGCTGTCAATCCAGGGAAGGACGTGCTCTGAATGCCTGGATATCTGCCTTGGCATGGAGTGGAGGTGGCCCTGCTTCACCAAAATCTCTGCACAAGAAGGGTGGGATGGCTCAGACTGCCAATCAGGGCAAGTAGTTGCTCTGAATGCTTGAAGATATGCCTGGGCATGGAGTGGAGAGGGCCCTGCTCCAAAATGATCTATGCACAAGAAGGGTGGGCAACTCAGGCTGCTAGTCCATGCAGGTAGGTGCTCCAAATGCCAGAAAATCTGCCTGTGTGGTGGAGCAAAAAAGGCCCCATTACACCATGATCTATGCACAGGAAGGGTGGGACAGCTCAGATAGCTGATCCAAGCAGGGAGGTGCTTGCAATGCCTGGAGACTTGCCTGTGCATGGACTCGAGAGAGCCCTGCTGCACCAAGATCTCAGAGGAGCAGACTGAGGCAGCCAGAAATGACACATGCAGACCAGTTCAAGGTCACCCAGCTGGTTCTGGATGCAAGTCTCATCACCCAGAAGAAACTGCAGTTGTAGCAGCTTTCCATCTGCCCTAGGCCTGTGCAGTAGAGAGTGCAATTTCAGTGCCTATGGTTGAGGCATTTCCCACAGTTTTGGCTGGGTGTAGAAGCACCTATCCTGCTGCAGAGCAGATCCTCTAATCTCTGTCCCAAGACTACAATGCCTATGTGGCCCTTTTGCTGTGTTGCCAAAGAATGGCTGACTTTGTATGCACCTGGATTAAAAATGTTGTCCTTTTCTTGGTCCTAGGTCTGGGAAAATGTCACTGCTTTTCCTGGTGTCTTTCCCTCTCAGCATCTCCAAGCCCTCCTCAAGTTAGCTCAAGGGCTTGGGAGAAACAATGTGCTCTCACTTACCCCAGGTTGCTTGAATCCCCAGTGGAAAGGTGAGTCACAGAAGGAGGCTCTCTGCCTCTCTCAGGTACTGGGGCTTAACTCACTTTTATCAGCCAGACACCATCACAGGAGCTGTTTGCGTATATTCTCCTCTCTGAAATCTGGAGAGTCCTTCATGATTTCAAGGGATTTCCTTTTTACTTGTTGAATTAAAGCTAATAGAGGTGATATTTATGTATTATCTTGCTATTCCCAAGTGGCTGAGGCATGTTAAATGTCTCTAATTCACCATCTTGGAAAAAAAATCAATAGAATTATTTAATCTAATTCTCACAACTGTTTGAACAGGGTGATAAACAGATGTAGGTATATTAGGCCTTTCTCTTTAATTTTGTATATGTTCAAAATTTTCCAAAGATAAAAACATTAAGATAAAAAATCAATATTTGTTATATATAGTTAATATAATGCTATTGTACTGATGAATAAATTGAAGTTTGTAGACTTTAAATGTCTTGATCAAAGTCAGAAACAAACAATTAATGATAGCAATAGAATTTAGATACCAGAATTACTCGTTTCAGATGAACAATCTTAACGTTATAGCAGCAATAATACCTCTAAATGCTGGACATTCAAACTAGACACAGTTTTCACCTCCAGAATTCTCATATCATGTCACTGATATGAGTATCACAGTAGATATGTAATGAAGAAATTCAGTTTCTCTCTAGATAATGCATAAACAGTATATTGATATCAGAATAGTATTTGTCTGATAACATAAATTTTACTAGCTATTGAGTCATGGCTGATAATGACATTAACATGAGTCTTGTTCTTCCAGATTTGAAGTCAACTCTTAACGATATCTCAAAATGGGAATCTAAGAGCACAGACGCTAGGGTCTAGTAAATCTAGGTTTGAACCTTTTGTCCACCATTACAGCCCTATGAACTTGGCCAACAAACTAACTACTCTAAGCTTTGGTATCTACCTCCTTTATAAAATGGGGACATCAATAATACCTAGGCATAGAGGGTGATGGTATACAGCTTAATGAGGAAATGTAAATAAAGTACTTAGCAAGATACCATAGTCCATGAAAACAACTTAAAAAGTTATTAATTTTCATTATTAATATAAACTTTGTATTTTAGGTCTTCCAGAGGGGCTGATATTTTAGCTGAGTCTAAAGGATTGCAAGGAATTCAACTAGTGAATAAAGGGAAAGGAAAGGGCATTCTAAGAATAGGAAATACCAAGTGTAAAGCTTAGAAGCATGAATACCATAGGGGTCTTGTGCTTTGTGGCTAGAACATAGATGAAGGTAGTCATAGGAGATAAACTTGTAAAGTTGGGTGGTAGCCATCTTGTAAATCCCTTGTATGACACGCCAAGCTGTGTTGACTAGAGTACAGTAACTGTCATAATTCCTGATAAAAATCATCTGGGCTAATTATTAAGTATGTAGATAACTAGAATTTATTCCTATAAATTGTGATTTTTTTAGGTCTGGATTCGAGCCCAGGAATGTGTTTTGCAAAAGTATTTTGAAGATTTTTATCTTCAGAAAAAATGTTAAAAACATTAGATTTCAAATATATATGTATCTTATACATATATAAAATCTATTTTATTTATAAAATATTATTTTTATAGAATGTAAGAATTATATAAGAATGTATGTGTGCATAGTCTATAAACAAATTAGAATATTTATGTATTCTATAAATAAAAATTATATTCATGATTCTATATATAAATATGCAACATTAAAATATATTACTATATATTATAGACTACATACAAATAAAATGCATATATATTTGGTGTGCAAATAATGCTTTGGGCAATAAACTACATGTATATTATTAATATAAATTAGAAAAAGTTACATTTTATATATTGTATATATAAATAAAACATACTATTTTTAGGTTAGGTTCATATACTATTTGTTTTTGTTTTTTTACCAAGAATGAGAGAGGGAAGGATTCCAACTTTGTATTGTGTTTTCGGGGGAACCAGCCCCCAATGTTTCAACATAGGTTCTTTTCGATTTTCCCTAAGTGTCGGCTGGTCTGAGAAATAGAGAAAGAGTACAAAAGAGAGAAATTTCACAGCTGGGTCTCTGGGGGTGACATTACCTATTGGCAGCTTCCGTGATGCCTACCTGAGTCACAAACCAACAAGTTTTTATTAGAGATTTCAAAAGGGGAGGTGTGTATAAACAGGGAGTGGGTCACAGAGATCACATGCTTCATAGGGCAATAAAAGATCACAAGGCAGAAGGGCAGAGTGAGATCACAGGGCCAGGGTGAAATTAGAATTACTAATGAGGTTCCATGTCCCACTGTGCATGCATTGTCATTGATAAACATCTTAACAGGAAACAGGGTTTGAGAGCAGACAACCGGTGTGACTAGAATTCGCCAGGCTGGTATTTCCAAATCCTAGCAAGCCTGAGGGTGCTACAGGAGACCAGGGTGTATTTCATCCCTCATCTTCAACTGTATAAGACAGACACTCCCAGACCAGCCATTTTAGAGACCTCACCCTGGGAATGCATTCTTTTCCCAGGGCTATTCCTTGCTGAGAAAAAGAATTCAGCGATATTTCTCCTATTCATGTTTGCAAGAAGAGAAATATGACTCTGTTCTGTCTGGCCCCACAGGCAGTCAGGCCTTATGGTTATCTCCCTTGTTTCCTGAAAATCGCTGTTATCCTGTTCTTTTAGGATGCCCAGATTTCATATTGTTCAAACACACATGTTTTACAAACAATTTGTACAGATAACACAATCATCATAGGGTCCAGAGGCGACATATATCCTCAGCTTATGAAGATGATGGGATAAAGAGATTAAAGTAACGACAGGTATAGGAAATTATAAGAGTATTGACTGGGGAAGTGATGAATGTCTATGAAATCTTCACAATTTGTGCTCAGAAATTGCAGTAGAGACAGGCATAAGAAATGATAAAAGTATTAATTTGGGGAACTAATAAATGTCCATGAAATCTTCACAATTTATGTTCTTCTGCCATGGCTTCAGCCTGTCCCTCCATTTGGGGTCCCTTACCTCCCACAATGTTGTATATGTAAACATCTGAAGAATAGAAACAGTGCAACCTCACCAAAACAAGGATAATGTCTGATCATGGAGTGATTTGCCTAACATTTGCTAAAAAGCCTTTCTGAATGTTTGAGTATTCTTAACTACCACTCAACGAGTCATCTAAAGGCTATATTATTGGTCAGACAAAGAAAAGAGAATCTTCCTTGATGTTTTGTCAAAAATTTGTTTAAATCAGATGGTACCTTATCTTTTAAACTTAATTATGCATTTCTTCAAGGAAATGGACAATCTGCATCTCTTTCATGATACACAGTAGCTAATTTTCACTAATGAATAATTATTAATTAACAGATAAGACAGGGAGGAAAGAAAGCATGTTGCTAGAATTGTCATAGGTTAACTCAACATCTCTAGGGCTGCTGAGAGTTTTTCTAGCCACTATGCCAAAGAGTATGCAACATCTGCAGCCTTGCAAATTAAATGGGAAACATCAGTTCTATGCATAAGAGTTAGAAACATCATGAGGAAAAACAAAAACACAAAACAAAACAAAAACAAAACAAGATATTTTAAAAAGTGATAACCCCCGAAACCATAGAAGCTATCAGATACTAAAATACTAGAAGTCATCAGCACTAGTTCTCCTTCAAAGAAATGAACAAAAACATCAAAGACATGTGCAGAGATGTTTTTGTGCTCAGTTAAGAAAATGTTATTTTTGAGACACAGTAATTTTGTGTGATTTCATTGTATAAGAAAACAGCTTTAAAAACAAAATTTCTTATACCACAGTACTAAAACATAGCCAAGATAAGGTATGAGCTGCCCAGAGGTATCCTGTATGTAGATGGTCAGCACTGCTACACCAGGGTACCTATAAAGGAGCAGCGTCAAGAAAATTTCTTGAATTTGATCAGAAAAATAAACTTTAACATCATCCACAGAGAAACATACAACAATTGGAAAGCTTTGGTGGAAAGTAAGAAATAAATATTGCTTAATAGTCTTTGCAAAAAAAAAAAAAAAAGCTTCTACAAAATAAAGCACCCTCTTTCACCTGACAAAGTCTCTTACTTGTCTAACATTATCAAGTACAGAAAATTAGCTTTCTAACTCCTCTATTATTACTCTTTCTAGAGACCAAGCTGTGGTTTGAAAAGATAATCAGAGAAAAACAAATTATAACTGTCTACCTGCAAAAAATTTCAATATGACTTTCAATAAAAGGGAATGTCAAAGACACTTATAACTTTCCCTTGTTCAAAATCTTAACACAGGAGAAGGAATGTATGTATCAGCTTTTTCATAAAAACAAGGAGGGGTTTCATGTCACTTTATAAAAGATAGTTTTCTTTTTCCCTAGAAAAATGTCATCATTATAAAACCTGGGAAAACAAATAAATGATTAAATGAAAAGTCAGATAAAGAGGAATTAACAACTATATTTATTATTTCACCTAAAAATATGTGAAAAAGGTTTAAAGAAATTAAAAACAAAACTGAGTTATAGAATTCTCCAATTTAATTCAAATTGAAAGTATAAAATATAACAATAGATTTGGGGTTGGGGACAAAACTTCAAGTAATAAAGCATGTTGTATAATGTTACATAAAAAGCCAGAGAGAAATCCATTCTGGTTTTGATATGCAACTATGACATTGCAAAAACTAAATAAATGAAAGATCTTGTCAATTAAGTTTGACACCATTTAGTGTTGGGCAAATGAAAAGAAAACAATATTAAATGCCCTTTGTAAAGTCTCTTGAAATGCAACCATGAACTGAGGCTGTGAATTGCTGAACATGTTTATTTAAATTGGTAAAATGTTCATTACCAGACATATATAAAAATATTGCAGAACATTAGAAACTATACAATTAACTAATAGATATTTATGACTACTTTAATATTTATTACATAAAACCTAAGTACACAGTAGTCAGATAACATACATTATGTGAAATGTC